TCTGTTCCTCAGAGGACGACTTTTCCATCATCGAGCAGGAGATCGTCATCGTGAAAAGCTGCAAACATCCCAACATCGTGGCGTACTACGGCAGCTACATACGGTCTGTCTGAGCTTCTCCTCCTCCTCTCGTTAACGTATTAAACTCAGGATTTAACTCACGGACGTCCTGTTCCGTCTGCAGGGCCAATAAACTGTGGATCTGTATGGAGTTCTGTGGAGGAGGATCCCTGCAGGACGTCTACCACGGTGAGAAATATACATGTTTATGTAAATGTGTGTGAATAATGTTTAAAGAACTGACTTCATTCTACACATTTAGTTTCTCTCGTGGATCTAAAACAAGTAGAACAAAAACACTTCTGGGTCTAAATTGCAAAAGAAAAACCAATAAGTTACCTTTTTTTTTTCTTTAACAATTTACTGCAGATAAAAAATAATAAAATCACTGAAAAATGAAATTAATTTACATTTTAAATTTTAAAAAAACAAGCCAGACTGTAAATAATATTCACATTAGAAATATATATATTTTTAAAACAATTAAATTTTTTTTCCTGATTTTCCACATTTTGTTAAGTTACAGATAATAATGAATAAAATCACTGAAAAGGGAATTGATTTACATTTTAAATGTAAAAAAAAAAATGTAAAAAAAAACAAGCCAGATTGTAAATAATATTCAAATCAGAAGTTTAAAAAAAAAAATAAACAAAAGAATTAACTGTTGTTTTCCAGATTTTCCACGTTTTGTTAAATTACCGATAATAAACAATAAAGTCATTGAAAAAGGAATTTAATTTACATATTAATTGTTGAAAGAAAAAAGAAAAGAAAAGACAAAAAGGGGAAAAAGGCCAAACTTTAAACATTCACATCAGAATTTTTTTATTTTTATTTTTTTCCCAGATAGTTATTTGAACTGGACTGTAAAATAACAGTTTTACTGTATTTAAATCAGCAAAACATGTAATTATTTTGCATATATTTGCTGCTTATTTGTGTAATTCAGTATTTTAAAGATTAAAAATGGGTTTAATTTACATTTTCATGTAAAACAAATAAATAACGAGCCAAAACTGTTCACAAAGCCCAAATCATAAACTGTATATTTACAAATTCACCTTAAAATTACGCTGTTTAACTGTCAAAACGCTGTTATTTTATTTTATTTTACAGTTTTTTAAACATTATAGTATTCTACTGTTTTTCACCATGCTGTTTCTGGCGTCACACAGCTTTTAATGTCCTCATAAACCTTATTTGTGTAACTTTCCAGCCCCGTGTTGAGCTTTAAATGCTGCTTTCCTATTTAATTATTCCCAACATATCGTGCTAAATGGATGAATTTCGCTCCCCAGTGACCGGGCCGCTGTCGGAGCCGCAGATCGCCTACATCTGCAGGGAGATGCTGCAGGTAACCGCACGTTAACATGCTCGAATGGACACGTAAAGGCTTTTATTTTGGTGACGAACTCAGCTGGGAGTTTTGTGTGTTGGCAGGGCCTCGACTACCTTCACGGACAGAAGAAGATCCACAGAGACATCAAGGTGAGCGAGGCGCTTCTATTTATCACAGACAGTAAAATCCAGCGCGTTTGAATTCAAACACGTCATAATCTGGTTGTATGAAGATGTGAATCAAAGCCTAAAAGAGTAAAATCTAAATCTGAAAGTGACGCTCTGAGGCTCGCCGTGATGGCGAAATATCAAACAAACTCCGCCGTCTTCAGTTGTAGAGTTTATTTCCACGCCGCGTGGGCTCGCTTAAAGATCACCGAGTGGGTAAAGAGGAGTCCTGTGTGCATACAAATATGAATAAGACGTGTCTGCTTCATGTCGCCTTCTTTTCCTTCCAGGGCGCCAACATCCTGCTCAACGACCAGGGCGAGGTCAAGCTGGGTGGGTGGATGTTTGTCTGCTGCACATGAGTCACTCCAGCTGAACCGAACCCACTGAGAACATTTTCTTAAATAAGCTAAGAGTAGAACTTCTATTTAAATCCTCGCTTTTGGACCCGAGTTGTTAGTTTCACACCAGCGAGGAAAGGAAATGAAGTCTTTGTCAACACGCTGCGGGCGTCCAACGGTTAACCGACACTGATCCTCGTTTGTGCTGTTTGTTTGTTTGTTTGTTTGTTGTGCAGCTGATTTCGGCATCTCGGCTCAGATCACAGCGACCCTGGCTCGCAGGATGTCCTTCATCGGGACGCCGTATTGGTAAGAAGGCGGCCGCGGCTCTGCTCTCAGGATTTAAGGTTTTAAATTAATATTGAAGAAGCTGAAACTGAGCTGCAGTGATTGAGGGTGTGAGAGTCTGAGGAGGAACTGGACACGAATGAGCGATAAAAACTGTGAATTTAGATCTGATGTTACAGTTTTGGACGTTTCAGGAAACTACCAAAGTCAGGAAGTCCACAGACGTCTTGTAAACCCTCAGTTTGATTGAAAACACTGCAAGAAATGTCCACAAAAAAGATGTTAAACTGATAAATGTTTGTGTCGGGGGGCATAAAAGGTGCATCAGAGAGTCCTCGTGAATGTCGAGGTTTGAACTGGGTGTCTGCAGGGAGCATGTTTCTTAACATGATGCAAAGAAAATCAATTAATCAGGGTGAACGCCATAATCAATACTGTATAATTAGTATTTACCCTGTATTAGTTAGGTTTAGTTCTATAATTTATAAAACTGTGAGGTCTTAGCGACGTATATTATCAAAAACACTCCAGGTTATCGTGTGTTGTAGTCGGGTAAAGTGGTGTTTTGTATTATTTTAAAGGGTTTAAATCCCTAATATTTACATCACTCTGCTAAAGCAACACGACAGGGCCTTAAATGGGATATTTACACTCGTTAGGCTGCTTTGGTGACGACAATCAGAATGAGAACCAACACGTAGAACCACTTTATGAGTCGTTGTCGTCCGTGTAATGTGCAATATCAGCATCACCGACAGGTTTACTTACATCACTCTTTTTCCATTCTCATCCTCTTCTAGTGAACTTATTTGTATTTCCTGTTGTTCCTCCTCCGTCTTATTGATTTACTAACAGGCTGCATTCATTCTTATGTTTTGTGTTTTTAATTCTATAAAAGTCTTTTCCTTTGTATTATCATGTTTCATTCATGACTAGTGCGGCTGTTTTTGCAGCATGCTGATATAAATACAGTATATATAGGATAGAACAGGAGGTTTTTATTGTCTTTATATCCAGGACGTGCAGAGGAACCGAAAAGACGTTTGACCTTCGTATTAGTGCATCAAAATACAGGATAGATCAAATAAGATATATGATATCAGGGTAAATACTGGACTGA